GTTCACTCAACCAGAAATCTAACAGTTCCGGATCAAATTCACACTCAACTAACTTCCTTGACTTAAATGATCAAGAAGACGCTAATCTCACTGAATTAGTGGAAAAATTCTGGAAAGTGGAAGGATCAGGCATCCAGGAATATCAAAAAGCTACGTTTTCTGATAAAAGCAAACGATAACTAAGATTTATGGAAAAAAGCATTGAGCACGATGGAGATCGCTACAAAATAAATCTACTCTGGAAGAACGAAATGAATTTGCCGAACAATTATCCGATAGCTAAAACTCAACTGCTATCGCTACACAAATGGCTCAGAAAAAACCCTGAAACCATGCAACCTGAGAAATTGCTTATTACTGACAAGGAAAATAACTACGTCAAGCCCGTTACTTTCCAATACCCACAACGTGAATTACTTTGGTACCTCCCACATCATCCTGTAACTAATCCAAGCAAGCCCAGGAAGGTACGCAGAGTGGCCAACGCTGCCTCAACGTACAAAGGCGTCTCGCTGAACTCTTGCCTCGAAACTGGACCTGACCTCCTGAACAACATGTTTGGACTTCTACTACGATTCCGGGAAAAACCTGTGTCTGTATCGGCGGATATTTAAGGTATGTTTATGCAAATAGATATTAAAGATGAAGCTCAAAATGCGCTTTGCTTCCTTTGGCCTACTAAAAATGGTATCAAACAATACTAATACACGCTACTTATCTTTGGTGCAAAATGCTCACCATCCATTGCCATCTTTGCGCTTCATCAAACAGCTGCCGATTACTGCGTATCCAAACCCATTAGTGCTCAACTGCTTCACAAAAGCTTTTACATGGACGACTTTGTTCACTCGTTCAACACGACACACGAGGCTAGAGACTCTACTACGCAACTGAAATCCTCCCTAAGACCTTGGGGATTCAACCTAACTAAGTTCGTATCTAACACTAATGACGCGATCTACTCCATTGATGGTGGCGAAGTTTCTACTAATGCTACAGTGCATCGTGTTCTAGGTGTCAAATGGGACACAACTGACGATACGATATTCCTGCAACCAACAACCAAGCTAACTAATACTACATCATCTACACTCCGAACACTTCTCTCTACAGTAGCAAGGGTTTTCGACCCCTTAGGCATCCTAGCGCCGTTTGTCATAAAACTCAAAATTCATCTGCAAAAGTTGTGGAAGTCTGATATCTCTTGGGACGAAGCCGTGCCCAGGAACTTTGTTCTGATAATTGACAAATGGGTCGACCAATGCAAACAAGTACCCCCTGTTAGGCTGCCGCGCTTACTTGGTCCACAGTGATATACAGCTTCATGTTTTCTGTGACGCGTCGCAAGACGCAATGGCTACGTGTATCTACTTCGGAACTGCTTGTAGCTCTGGCATACACGCTACTTTTTTGATTGGCAGAACAAAGGTAGCACCACTGAACCAAGAGAGCATTCCTAAACTGGAATTACAGGCCGCCCTTTTGAGTGCTTGGCTATGCAAGTTCGCCACTGATGAAATGCGATTAAAGCCTCATTCCACTCACTCATGGACGGATAGCACTACTGTTTTTTCCTGGATCGCTTCACCTGGTAAACTGAAAACTTACTGCGCAAATAGAGTTGGTGAAATATTTACTTTATGCAAAGCCGAACAATGAAAACACATCCCAGGTAGACTCAACCCAGCAGACAGTGCTACACTGGGAATTGAACTTAAAGACGTAGCAAAACTCTGGCTGGATGCACCACAATTTCTACTCAACAGTGAGCCTATTTGAAGGATCAACGAAATAATGGAACAAAGTAAGGGTACAATGGTTAGCCCCTCAACTACAACCTTAATCAATTCTTCCAGGTTTTCTGACTGGTTTCGATTAGTTTGGGTCACAGCTCGGGTTATAGTTTTTGTCGATAGACTAAAGGGAAACGGTAAACGTTCTACCACTATGGAAGACCAGGAAAAAGCTAAGCTCCTCCTTTATCAACAATCCCAGCAAGAAACCTTTGGTGACACCTACAACCAACTACGAACCAAGCAACAAGTTGAAAACAAAGACAAACTGCAACAGCTGTCACCTTTTCTCGACAACGGTATTATTCGCGCGCGAGGACGACTACGAAACTCACCTTAACCGGACGCAACAAAGCATCCAATATTTCTTAACGCAAAGGACCCAATTGTGCGCATGATGATCGAGAGCGCTCATCGCCGCTGCATGCATCACGGCACTGAGTACATTCGCAACTACCTGCAACAAAATTTAGTCATCATTGGGCTCCGAAAAACACTCAGACAGATAAGACATAACTGCTTTCTCTGCAGAAGATTCCAAGGCAAAGGGCTACATCCACTCATGGCCGACTTGCCGCCAACTCGTTTCGACGATCCGTCTGATGACCCATTTCCGTTCAAAAACAGAGGAATTGACTATATCGGACCATTCTACATAGCAACAAAGGATACAAATGAAAAATGCTATAATTGCCTCTTCACGTGCCTCTCTACTCGCGCGGTTCACCTGGAATCGACAGAGAACCTTACTACGAACAACAGTATAACGGCAATTAGACGTTTTATTGCTAGGAGAGGCACAACTAAAATTTTAATCTCCGACAACGCTACTTACTTCGTCGGCGCGCGTAAACAATTACGCTCAGAACCAATCAACTTCAACGAAACCACCCTAACTGAAACGCTACAAATCCACAATTTCGAATGGCGCCCCTCCGGCTGCCCCCCATTTTTGGCGGCGTGTGGGAGCGACTCGTCTCAATGATAGAACGACTATTCTTACTAAATCTCGGTTCTGATTGACTATCAAGAGATCTATTTGCTACTATCGTAGCCGAGACCGAGGCAATCCTCAACTCACGTCCGCTAACTCATGTCAGCAGCCGCCAATGTCGGCAATCCTCAACTCACGTCCGCTAACTCATGTCAGCAGCAGCCTCCTACGAAGCATCTACCAGTAAACTGTCCAACAAGTCCTGGAAGCGAGCAAAAGATAGACTTGACAGCTTCTGGAGGCGTCTACTTAAAGAGTAGGCTCCGACTCTCATCAGAAGGACTAAATGGACGCAACCCGAGGAACCACTCGAAAAAGATGACCTCATGGAGATACTTGAGGACTTTACACCACGAAGCATCTGGCCACTGGGTCGAGTGTTAGATTTTTTTACCGGCTCGGATAGCATCGCGCGCTCGTGTAAACTGAAAACAGCCCTAGGTACTTTAACGAGACCAGCGGTGAAACTTGCCCTCGTATCCCCAAAAAAGAAGATTTAAGACCACTTTAATTGTACTACAACAACAGCAACAAAAAACTTGGCTCAACTCCTTCCCCTTCGGTTCCAAATAAGATCTCCCTCCCCCGAGGATGTTCATGAAATGAATTGTCTCACATTAATTATAGAAAAATGCGGTAAAATCTTTTAATAATAGCATGATTTGTTCTGAACTAATGAGTAATAATTTGACATCAACAAAGTGACACTAAGATATGTTCATCAAATTGTCTTAAATATAGGCTTACTTTTCAATTTGTTGCCGTAACACATATTCCAACTACAAGAGAAACAGAATGTTTCGACCAGTCTTAAAAAATAGCTTTTTTTTTAAATTATTGTCATTTTTTTCGTTGTGGTGTGATAAAGGAATCTGAGCGAAAAAGTAGAACTTAGGAATTTTGGTCAGTCATTGTAGATTATGCAAATTGGAAAACAGTTTTTGAAGACAAGTAACAAGAAAAACAAAATCAAAAAAAGTTTTATCTTTCATTTTTCAAAAAATTTTCCCAAATTTTTGAAGTTTGTGATTTCTAAGATGAAACTAAAAACTGCAAAAACTGACCTCATTTCAGTAAAACTAAGTTCTCGAGGCTTAAATTAAGCATAAATAAGGCAATGTAAGCGTCAAAAAGAAAAGTCAAAATGTTCAAACCGTTTTTTCTCGACACTGGGAAAATTAGTTTGAAATTTTTTAATGTCGTTCATTTTGATGTAGCTCAAATTGAAAAGGCTTTAATATGATATATCACTCAACCCAGTCCAATAATTATTTGTGGTACCTGATTGTGCGTGCAAAACAAAAAAACTAAAACACACCCGAATACAGAGTTCCTCCTCATTTTCAATGGTCGGAACAACAAGAGGTTAGGTAGGAGGCATGTCTTCAACAAGGTTAGTTAGCACGTCATAAAGTAGACTAATATTCTATTAACCAAGCAGAATCGAACAAATGTACGAAATAAATAATTATTTTTTATTCTTGCTTCAGCTTGTTTTTCTATCTCCATTCTGATCGGGAAAGGTTTGTAACTGTCTACGTTTTGACAGGTATGAAATAAAGGTTGTCTTCTTTTTGACCGTATTCCTTTCAATCAACAATTATCTCTTTGTAAAAGTTGTTTCCAGCGACATTTTTTATCAAAAATATTTGGAAAAAAGTATCAAAATGTTTGAAATTGGGCATGGTATGGTGAAAACTTGATTGAAAAATGTCAAAATATTATTTTCCTCGGAGGAAAAATTATCCTCGGTCTACTTTTCACCCTATTTTTGTACAACCGTTTTAGTTTCTGTGTAACTTACCATCTTCAGATAAAAATAGAGGTTGAGGAGCCTAATTTCTTTGTCTAATGTCCTAATACCTCTGCTCTGTCAGAACAGCGTTAGGTTAAGGGTAACCCAGCCCCATTCTTGAGAAATTGAGTCCGTTATCTCGAAGAAGGAACTTGTTGCAGCTAAGTTTATTTATTTATTTTTCTATACTCAAGTTAAAAGCGCTGATATAGTAGGGAATTTTTGGGAAGGCAAAATTTTTTGTCTAAGCCCTCAAAAGTTTAATAGTAATAGTCAAATTGATATCCTTCAAAGTTTGTCAAACTTTTTTTGTTTCCTCTGTTTTAAATCTTACTTAAAAATATTTGTTCTTAAGATTTACTAAATTATTAAGAATTTTATCAGCAATTACGTTTTCATTTTGTTTCTGCATGTTGGAGTGCAAATTTTGTTGGTGCATTCTGTATATACCATGAGTAACTTTCGTGCAAATATTATATTCATCTATAAACTTGTGTTTAAGCTCAAACTCAAGCTCTGACCTAGAATAAACACGGTCATTATTCAACCGAGACCCAACAATTGGGCTTTAAATCTGGTTGCTTTACATAAACTAGCAAAATCATATTTTATCCATGCTGTCAATTATGGTATTACTCATTGAGCCTGAAGATAGTTGATGCCTTTATTAATTATCGCATTCTAAAAACGTATTCAGTTGAACTTATTTTAAATTTCTTGCTTTTCAAAATTCCAAAAAATGTCCGTCCTAACTGAGCTTGCGGCATTTCATTTTCTTTCGTTAATCTTATTTTTCTTAAACTTATATGGACATCTTTGTGTAGCGGAACTTCCTGAAAATAGAAAAAGTGAAGACTCAATGGTGCTAGTTAAAGGGGGCGTGACCGAAGTTGGGCTGGAAAAACCCATTATACCACAGGACGGCGAGGGTCCCATCCGCAAAATTGATGTGCCCTCTTTCTACATAGATAAAACGGAGGTCACAAACGCACAGTTCAAACGATTTGTTGATGCAACAGGTTATAAAACAGAGGTTAGATTTCAAACATTAGAAATTTTGAAACATTTGGGGAATATATTGGCTTTTACTTTTTTCTTTCAGGCTGAAAAATTTGGCAACTCGTTTGTGATGCAGAGTTTTGTGAGCGAAGAAATCAATTCAAAAATTACTCAATCGGTAAGCAAAGACACTCTTCGATTGACAACAAGAAGGACCTTTACCAATTATCTACAAAAATTTACCTCGTGGCTTTGACGAAATTTGCACTTTGTAATCATTTACTCAAAGAGGCAAATTTTAGTAGTCTGTAAAAAATTATTTTCAGGTAGCTAGTGCCCCGTGGTGGCTTCCGGTTGACAAAGCCGACTGGCAACATCCTGAGGGTCCAGACTCCTCAATCAAGAGTAGAATGGACAATCCAGTGGTGCACGTGACTTGGAATGACGCCACTGAGTTCTGCAGGTGGGCGGGAAAGAGACTCCCTTTTGAGGCCGAGTGGGAGAGGGCGTGCAATAATGGCAGACCGACTAGGTGAGTAATCAGCGGCGGGGGGAAGAGCTGTTCATAGTATTGGAAATATATCGCTGCGAAGCTTACTTTTGGCTTCTGAAAGACTATGTAGAAAAATAACTGACTCAAAATTATGGAATTAAGCCCTATAATAGCATTACTATAAAAACAACAAACCTTGAGTTCTTCGTCAGAAGAACAAAAAAATGCGAAAAATATTATAGCGCAAAAGAAGCTAAAAGAAGGTAGAGCACTCTTCTACCGTTTCCCTCATCAGAAGTTAACATCAATTTTACGCTGATATCATTAATTTATCGAGATCGTATATGAGAACAAAGCGTGTTTTATTAACAAAGCGTCTTAAAAAATATTCACGCTCAATTAAGATTTTTTGCCATTTTTTGCCAAGTTGACATTTGAAGTTAAATTCAAACTCTTTTGTTAAAAGGGAAGGCAAACTCCGCT